CACAACTGCAGTGAAGGACACTGTCTCACACCACTGTTAAAGTAAGCTTCAACTACCATTCCAGTCAGTTTCTGTTTTCTAGCTCAACCAACAAAATATCTTGGATTTGTCCTCAATTTAGTAGTTAATGTAATTCAGTATTTAGTAAACTACTAAAAAGGTTTTTAAAAAACTAAATTTCAAAGCTGTTTCCCCATGCAAATGATACATCGCATTTTAATATGTAGTTTATTAAAATGCACATTTTATTCAAAATGAACAAAAGTCATACTCTTCATTTTCCAGTATGTGTATAGTGAATGCAGCACAAGAATAGCAGATCTCCAAACCTTTTTCTGCATATGAATAAAGATCAAGCAGAAGGTTGAAGTGACTGTTGTAACAGATTGTCTCCATGCCTGTGTAAATTGATGCAGGATTGATCATTGTGTTTCAAACTGTCTGATTATCTTTTGAAAAAAGTTATACTTTCATTAAAAAAAATAGTTCTTTGGAAGTCAAGAGGTTCATGCTGGTTATTGGAATCAGTTGACAATCTTTCAGCTGCAGTCAAAGAGACTGGTGAAAGAGACGACATGGATGTCACTGAACTCTTGCAAATGGAGTATGTGGCGGTTGACAACTTTTGCCTTTTTCCTTCCTTAATAGCGTCTAACTGAATATAGAAGCGGCACCTCCTTTATATAAGATGTATTAATTTCATTTTCAAGGGAAATACATATTTCAAGCTCTAAATAGACTGGATGTATGAAATATTTCTTTAGTGATTCCATGAAATGTTTAAACTACTTATAAGCTCCTTTGTTGTAAATCATGTAAGAAGATCTGTTCTCATAAATTTATATCATGCAAAAGAAGTTTTGCTCAGTGTACAATACTAGAAACTTTGTTGATTCTTGTTTTGTTATAAAAGTGCTCAGCATACATTTTGCACACCAATAAATATACAGTACATTTTGCACATTGCACTATAGACACATAGAAGCTTATGAAGGCTGAGTGTACTGTTATGCTGAAGTTATGAAGAAAGTATATATTTCCCCTTCTCCACTATGACACATCCATATTTGGCAGCATGAAGGGCCTGCAGAATGAAATAAGATCTCCAGATTTTTGTTTCTATTGGATTTCTCTTAGTTTTCTAGTGGAAGTCCACCGTTGGCTCCTGGCACTGAGATAGATGAGTAGAGTAGGCAGGTACATTCCCATCTTCCTCCAAAAAAATTAATTTATACCATGAATAAATGTCTTCTCAGAGCATATAACTGATGCCCCGTCTTTTAAATCATGTAAAAACATACATAGCTTCTCCTGTCTCCAATCAGCAGTCAAGTGGAGCTTCCTGACATGGTTTTTCTACAAAATTGTCTTGCCTCATAGTATAATTGTATGCACAATCAGGAAAGCATTCTTCCATCTGTAACTTTTCCATGTTTCCCACCACTGTATCCATTATTTACTGTACCACAGAGTTGGAACAGCCCACATGGACCATCTAGTCCAACTCCCTGCCATGCAGAAAAAGCACAAAGTATCCCTGACAGATGACAATCCAGCCTCAGTTTAAAAGCTTAAGAATAGGAAAAAACACAAGAAAATCTGATGAGACCAACTGGAGCAGTGGTTCTCAACCTGTGGGTCCCCAGGTGTTTTGACCTACAACTCCAGCCAATTTACCAGTTGTTAGGATTTCTGGGAGTTGAAGGCCAAAACATCTGGGGACCCACAAGTGAGAACCACTCGTTTGCAGTCATGAAGTTCTTCCTAATGTTCAGGTGGAATCTCCTTTCCTGTAATTTGAACTGCTTTGCAGGCTTAGTGGAGGCTATAGCCTAGAATTTCCATTAGCAATTTTCTTCCTATCCTTAGGAATGCTACAAGAGCTATCCAAGTTAGCATTTCAATAATGTTTTCTAAACCCAGTATGTATTTCCATCATAGAGCTGGAAAGGACCTCAAGAGCAGTTTAATCCAACCACAAGTAATATAGCTAAAGTATTCCTAAGCGGGTTACATAACTCCAGTGAAACTTTTGTTCGTTAATATATTTGCCTAGGTGTGGACACACCACACATACAGTAGTTTTCTATTACCGTAAGATAGGCTGGAATGCAGTTTTCCAACAGTTATATGTCTTTTTTAAAAAAAAATTGTTTGCAACACAGTTCTGTAGATTTATCTCTTGTTTCTGACGAAATGTTGATTTGAAATATGTGGTTCAGACATGACAGCCCTCTTGGCTTTTTAGTATTATATATCAAATCAGGAAAACTTGAAAAAATGCAGTATTCAGCCCTTCCTTTAAGATAAATGTTTGAAAAGCTTTAGTATATAATCTAAAGCAGAGGCATCAAACTTGTGGTTTTCCGGATGTTTGTGCCTCCAACTCCCAGAAGCCCTAGTCATCTTGCCCAATGGTCAGGAAGTTTGGGAGCCGAAATCCAAAACATTTAGAGCAGTGGTTCTCAACCTGGGGTCCCCAGATGTTTTTAGCCTTCAACTCCCAGAAATCTTAACAGCTGGTAAACTGGATTTCTGGGAGATGTAGGCCAAAAACATCTGGGGACCCCAGGTTGAGAACCACTGATTTAGAGGGCCATGAGTTTGACACCACTGGTCTAAAGTATCAAGCACTAGAAAACATTTTAAAAATCCATCATACTATAATGCAAATATACATGTGGAAATTTGATACCTTTATGGGTCTGTCTGTTAAGTTCATAGAGGAATTTCTTTTTAAACTGTTAATTGGCATGCTTTAATTATACTGCCATTTTTTCCTTCCCTTTCTCTTGGCGTCCCACCCTGCTTGTGTATTTGATTTTTTTTATTAACTGTTTTTTGTCTTTTTTTCAAACTTGCTCTAGGTATCAAACTGGTTTGGAAATAAGCGAATCCGGTACAAGAAGAACATAGGTAAATTTCAAGAGGAAGCCAATATTTATGCTGCCAAAACGGCTGTCACTGCTACAAATGTGTCAGCCCATGGAAGCCAAGCTAACTCACCCTCAACTCCTAATTCAGCTGGTTAGTTTTTTTTCTTTTGGGTTGTTATTCTTCTTTTCCTTTACATGGGGTTTTTGTTTTTGTTTTTTGTTTGATTGTTTTTTTTTATCAATGTACATTTCTTAGTTGTTTTTTAATTTATTTCCTCTTTGGTTTGTTCACTTTGGGGGCATTTCAGATATTTTGTTCCTGTCTGGTTTTTTTTTCTAAAGGCATTATAGTTGTGCTTTGTAATTAAGAGGAATGTGTTGAGGACTTTGGTATGGGTAATATTCTTCCTGAATTAGTGATTATCTCGGGAGAAAGATTGCCCATGTAGAGTTTCAATGTCTTCATGGTGGAAGATATTTATCACTGGGTAGCCCTGATAAATAACACAACACATTCAGTGGTTATCAGGCCCTTTTCACATATAAGCTATATTTTTAGAATGAACTGGAACTACACATTAGTAAATATATTTTAATGGAACTTTTTCTCAAGGTGCTCTTTGACATATTATTTAAATCGATATTTTCTGAACCCCTTCCTAGGTTATTGGTTGGTCACTCCATCATTTGTGTCTCCTTTGTAAAAAAATTCCCTTATTTTATGTATTTTTGTTCTGTCAACATCATTATAAGGCTTTCTTGTTAGTAAATGGAATAAATTCTATTTTTCTCAATATGTGGCATTGTTGTTCTCATGTTAGCTTGTCAACAATCAGATTAGTACAGGCTGGCTTGTGTGCTATGTAGAAGGGCGGAGTGGAATTTTAGAAATAAATTTACAAAATAATTACTGGATAAAATATTTATAAAATTCACAAAATAAACAACTAGGAAAGATGAGTGGATTGTTACCTCAAGGAAGGTAGGGGTACCATGGTTTTCAGGGTGCAGCTATCTCACTTATACAGATCAGAGGGCGATATGGAAATGGGGGATGGTCATATCACCCAGCAGGCAGAGTTAATAACAGTGTCACCCCAAAACTCTTCCTGCTTAATACCAGGTCAGTAAATGGCAAAACAGCTGCCATTGAGGCAAGGAGTTAGGGTTGCAGTGATCTACCAGGAAAACATCTCCCTGATGAGTGGTTTACTGAGAAAATATTCCCCTGGTATGTTGTCTCCTTGGAAAACATCTCTCTGATGAGGTCTACAAGATTTGAGTGTGTTTCCATAAAGGTGGGGATCCGGGACAGATTAGAGATTCTGTTGGTGTACTGCCCATTCCCAGCTCAAAAGTCTGTTTTTCTGAGCTAGCCGGGTTGGTTTTGGAGTCTTCATGACTCATAGTACTGAGGGACTTCAACATCCATGCTGAGGTTGCCCCTGTCAGGAGTGGCTCAGGACTTAATACCTGCTGTAACCACCATGGATCTGCCCCAGTTGTATCTGTCCCCACACATGCTGCTGGACACACTTTAGGCCTTGTATTTTGAATGGAGGGTAGGGGTGATGATGATCTGGGAATGGAGAAGCTGTTTGTGGCATCATTATCATGGACAGATCACTATTTGGTCAGATTTAGGCTTGATGGAGCTTAGAACCTTTGCAGGGATGGGGAACCCATTAAGATGGTCCACCCACAGAAGCTTATAGACCTGAATGGATTCCAGATGACTCTTGGGAATTTCCCACTACCTGTGCAGGTGAGAATAGGGAAATGGCCAGAATGGTAGATACGATTGCCTTTTCTCACAAAGTGGAGTTAAACCAGCCCCTTGTTTTACTAATGAAGCAATGAAACGCATGCGATGGGGATTAGAGTGTCAGTGGCAGAGAACTCAAAGCAATTCTGACCAGAAAAAGGCAAAAATTTATCTGAAGGGCTATTAAAAACAGGGAAAAGAGCACTTTATACCAACACTATTGCTGCAGCACAAAACTAACTAGCAGAGATGATTCTAGTAATTAGGGATCTAGTACAACCTGGCTACAATGAACCTGTCCACTGTTTTGCAGATAAAATTTCTCAGATTCACTTTGACTTAGACACCACAGTTGATGCAGCTCTGGTGGATGTAAACTTGGCTCCTGCTTCTCTGGTGTTGATAGATACTTTTCGGTTTGTGCAGCTTGAGGATGTAGATAGGATCCTTGGAGAGGTGAGAGCCACCACATGTGCTTTAGAACCTTGTACTTCCTGGCTCATAAAACAGGCCAGAGGGGGACTGGTGGGTCAGGAAAGTGATTAATGCCTCCTTGCATTAGGGTAGGGAACCTGCAGGCCTCAACGAGGCTGTGGTAAGAACTCTTCTGGAAAAAAAACCTTTCCCAGACCCCATTGTACTTGATAACTACAGACCAGTCTCCAATCTTCCATTTCTGGGCAAGATACTGGAGCATGTGCTGGCTTTTCAACTTCAAAGGTTCCTGGATGAAACGGATCTAGATCCATTTCCCTCTGGTTTCAGGCTTGGTTATGGTACAGAGACAGCTTTGGTCGCCTTGGTGAATGACCTACACAGAAAACTGGACAGGGGGAGTGTGTTTCTCCTGGACCTTTCAATGGCTTTGGATACCATCAACCATGGTATCCTTCTGAGTTGCCTTTCTGGGATGGGGCTTGGAGTTATTGTTCTTCAATGGCTCAGTTCTTTTCTGGATGAATGTTCTCCAGAGGTGGTGCTGGGGGACTCCCATTCAACTCCTTGACATGGGGGTGTATTGAAAAGTGCTCAGAAACTTCAGATAGTCCAAGAGTGGCAGCACGGTTATTCACTGTGGTTCCCCTGTTGCAACAGCTCCAGTGGCTATCAGCCCATTTCCAGGCACAATTCAAAAGTGCTAGTTTTGATCTACGAAGCCCTATACAGCTTCAGTCCAGGTTGTCTGAAAGATGGTAACTCTTTTTATGAATATTTCAGACATCTACGATCAACTAGGAAGGGCCTTTTCTCTGCCCCACCACTCACTCAAGTGTGCTTAGTGGGAGCACAGGAAAGTGCATTTTCCATGACTGTTCCCAAACTGTGGAACTCTCTCCTAACAGAGACCATGATAGCCCCATCCCTGTTTGCCTCCTGTGAGCAGGTAAAAACTTTTCTCTGCCAGCAGACATTTAGTAAAGGGTAAAGGGCATGCTGCTGGAGAGATTGTTGACGGGAATCTGGAGGTGTGGGAAGTGAGTTTTATATGCAATTTTAATTGTATTTATTACATTTTAATTATTTTCTTAAGTCCACACAGTACTACTTTTTTTTGTATTTACCTTGTTTTAAATTGTGACCAAACTGTTTGTTTATTAGCTGCTTTGAGTTCCCATGGGGAGAAAGACAAGGTATAAATAAATAAATAAATAATATATAATGTCCTAATTTCAATTTTCAAAGAAACTCTATAATATTTATTATTACACGTTTATATTGCTTGTGAAAAATTGTTCAAATGTAACTTCCATAGGCTTGAAAAAAGGTCAGTTTCAGGATAAGACTGTGATCAGATGCTTACTATATGTCAAGTACGATATGTTGTGGGATTGATATCCTTTTTCCAAGTCTGAAATGATATAGGATATCACTGAATATAGAGGATTTTTGCAAAGCTGCCATAGGGCAGTTGTCTTTTTCTTGGCAGTTTTCATAGGGGTAGTTGTCAAAGGACCTTTCATACAGCCATATAATCCAGAATATCAAGGCATATAATCCACAATATCTGCTTTGAATTTGATTGTCTGAGTCTACACTGCCATATATTCTCATTCAATGTGGATTTTATACAGCTGTGTGGAAGGGGCCTAAGATGTCTCTTCTGGTCTCTGAGTGAGCTAGCCACTAGTTGTGAGAAGTAGTTGTGAGCAATTTTGTTTCTGTGATTTACTCAGAGTTCCACATTAAGGCAAGAGTGGAGTTGTCACAGAAGTTAAATCACATAATATTGGGATAATAACACATCACAAATAACAATCATTTTTATGACTTGTATGACAAGCTGCCAGTGGGTAGGTGGACTCTGTGGAGGGCAGCACTGGCTACAGAAAGTGTACTACATGGCTGTTGGTAGATTTTCCTCAGAGCTGGGCATTGTGTGTGGGGTATCTTTGGAGGCTGCTGTGCCCTTCTGACACAAAGGATCTCCCAAAGCATCTTGTTTGCAATGCATGGCTTTGAGGCCCTCTGGGCATCTGTAATCCTGTGGAGCTGGATACTGGACATTTCTACTTCTCAGGCTCCTCAGGCAAACATGAAGGGGGTCTTTCCTAAGGCAGACATCCTATCTAATGGAAGCACAAACCCCATAGGATGCTCAGAATACTCCACATTGTAGAAATAGTCGTTCTTTGGAACATATGCTTTAGGTGTTTTTTTTTTCTTTTTCATGTGAGGAGCGACTTGAGAAGCTGCAAGTTGCTTCTAGTGTGAGAGAACTGGGGTCTGCAAAGATGTTGCCCAGATGTTTTTGATGTTTTACCATCCTTGTGGGCGGCTTTCCTCATGTCCCCACTTGCGGAGCTGGAGCTGATAGAGGGAGCTCATCCATGCTCCCCCTGGATTCGAACCTCTAACCTGTTGGTCTTGTGTCCTGCCAGCACAAGGCTTTGACTCACTGTGCCACTGGGAGCTTTAGTAATTTTGTTTTGCTTAAGTTCATGTTAATACCATGAAAACATGTAAGGCTTCTTCAGACATTCAGTTTGTTGTTAGATGCCCAAATTTAGGCATTAGTAAGTTAAATGTTTTTGAATATTTACATAAAACTGTGATTCAAGATAAGACTGTCCAACTCTGATTAAACCATTATTCTAACCTTCTTCAATGTAAATATGCTTACATGTCCTCCAATAATAATAGAGTAAGATAATAATAATAATAATAAGAAGAAGAAGAAGAATAGAGAAAAATAATAAATGTAACAATAACAATAATAAATAGAGTAAAATAATAAATGTAATAACAACAATAATAAAATAATAAATGTAATAATAATAACAACAACAAAGTAAAATAATAAATAACATTGACTCAAGTATAAGCCAGGGGAGACTTTTTCAGCCTAAAAAAAGGACTGAAAAACTAGGCTTATACTCGAGTATATA